TAGCAGAGCGGCAGTAGATGATGATGATGATTTTGTGGATGAAATCCGCATTATAAAGACTACGAAAATAATGAAGACAACAGCTGGGCGAGTGTGTCTTTTGTGAATCATTTTCATTAGGTGTCTGTTAATTTGTTTGAAATTGGCTTAATTTTGGGCATGGGTTGATGCATGCTTGATGTTTGATTTAATGCCTGTGGGTGATTTGTGTTTAAATTTTTGGAATATTGGTGCTTGAGTTACCTAAAAAATTACTTTTAGGTCATTTTCTTACATTAATATGTGGTCATTATACTAATCATTTTAATGCCAAAAACTACATAACACGTAATCCCTTAATATGTGGTCATTAATTGTCATAACACGTAATGATCATTCTGCGAAATCCTAGTCATTATACGAATTCATTTTGAGTCTTTCTTTACCTGCCATTACACGTAATAACCATTCCCCATAATTCCCAATCATTACTACTGCGTTATAAAACTCATCACCCACTCAGTCCAAAACATAATGTCTGATTAAATTTCTAGTTTTTATACAAAAAAACCCATTGTCTAAACTCCCCTCATTCGGCTTTGTTTAATACAACACATAAACTAATTTTGCAGTCATTAAGAACCTAAACTCATGTCACTAAAATTCTGCAGGTTAGACCAGCTTGTGCATTTGAGTTCCTAGTCTTTGACAAAAACGGCTAGTCGTTTGTTGTGAATTTTCAGAACCGAACATGTACGTGCTGCGAATTTCAATTGGACCATTTTGTATGTGTTCATGCAATCGCTGCTACTCGTTGTCGACATGGATTGTCGTGCTATGACTACATCTCATCATTCTACACCGCTGCTTCCTCGAGAGCTACGTATAGTGAAATCATACACCCAATTCCTTCCAAAGATTCGTGGGTTATACCTGATGAGGTTGCTGAAACTGTTTGCCTGCCACCATCCTGCTCTAAACGACCTCCAGGGAGACCAAAGAAGCAAAGGATCCCGTCGAAAGGTGAACATGCGAAGCGACAAACCTGCTAACGATACAAATCATCGGGACATAATAAAAAGACGTGCGCAAATCCCATTTCTTCAAGTCGCGTTTGCCTTCTAAAGGAAGACGTATGGGAATCACAACACTTAGGGGAACCGTGGTCCAGCATGTCATTTAGTTTTGTCCCAATTCTGGTTCATTTTGTGTTATTTTAAACATTCAGGGATTCATTTTTTGGTACATTATCATTCTCCCCTTCTTCAAAAGAGTTTGACCTCAAACTCGGAATATCTTCTGGCTCAAAGTAGGGATTGAGGTCGGCGATGTTGAACGTTGCAGAGGCTGCATATTCTCCGGGTAGGTTGATCTTGTAGGCGTTGTCATTGATCTTTTCTAGCACTTCAAAAGGACCGTCCGCTCGGGGTAGTAGCTTGGACTTGCGTTTCGTGGGGAAATGCTCTTTTCGGAGGTGAATCCAAACTAACTCTCCGGGTTTGAATATGGCATATTTCCTCCTCTTAATGATGCGTGCACTCACCCTTTCATTGGTGGCTTCTATCTTCTCTCGTACCTTAGCATGAAGGTCTTGAATCTCCTTAGCTCTTTCCTCGGCTTCTGCACTGTATTTCTGCTTTATCATAATAGGATAAAGTTCAAGTGGGGTAAGGGGGTTTGAGCCGTAAACAACCATGAATGGATAAAATCCGGTTGTTTTTCTTGGCGTCCGGTTATATGCAAACTCCGCATGGGGTAGGAGCTCTTCCCATTGCTTTATATTCCTCTTCATGAGCACCCGTAGCAATGTACCGAGGGTTCAGTTCGTCACTTCTGTTTGGTTTGAGGGTGGTGAGAGGTGCTAAACTTGAGCTTGGTTCCCATCTTTCTCCAAAGTGTCATCCAAAAATGGCTAAGGAACTTGCTATCTTGATTCGATACCATGCTTCGGGAAATTCCATGTACATTGACGATCTTGTGGAAATAAAGATCAGCGATTTGTGAAGCATCATGTGTGGTTAGACATGGTACAAAATGGGCCATCTTAGAGAACCGATTTACCACTACCATGATTGAGTCCTTCCCTCGTTGTGTCCCAGGCAGCCCCGTGATGAAGTCGAGGCTAATATCTTCCCATGGTGCCGTGGGGATGGGGAGGGGAAGATATTTCCCTTGGGCTAGTGAATGACTCTTGGCGGTTTGGCAAACAGCGCATCGTTTGATGTAGTGCTCCACGTCTCGTTCCATCTTCAGCCAATGATATGATAGTATTCTCGCATAAGCATGTAGGTCTTCTCCATGGGTAGAGGAGGGGGGCATGCCTGGGAAAGTGCCCCCCCCCCCCCAAACGAAATTCCGGAGAAATAGTACTGAGGTACTGATCGGCGATGGGAGTGAATGATTTTCCCCCCAAGATTTTTCGAAACTTTCAGGAATGTCCGGAAGGCTGCAGCAAGTCGAAGAAGGAGCAATTTGCCGGCGGAAGAACAAGAAAGGCTACGGCGTCGTTTTATAAAATGATACTCCGTAAAAAAATAGAGTAAATTCTATAATTGGTCCTTTAGAACATGGGGGTTTCCCTATTTAGTCCTTTATTATCAAATATTACCCCCATAGTCCTTTTTTTAAGGGTAACCTTTCTACAAATGGTCCTTTTTTTGATCTTCTGCCGTGTTGGTGTTAATTTGATGGCTAAAAGTGTAATTTGACATCAACATTATGTCTAGTGACGTGTTCTGATATTGGTTAAGCGGATTACACAAAAATAATGATTATGATTGTGGGCTAGGATTCTGGCGAAAGATCACATTTGTAGACTATCGTTGTCGTAAAAAGTGACTGTAATTCACAAACAACGCAAACGAAACAGCCTTTGGAATTGTGTATGACAAAAAAGATATATTATCATTATGAAATTACACTTTTAGCCCTCAAATTAACACCAACATGATAGAAGATCAAAAAAAGATCTATTTGTGGAAAGGTACCCATAAAAGAAGGGCCACTGGGATAATATTTGATAATAGAAGACTAAATAGGGAAACCCCCATGTTATAAAGGACGAATTATAGAACTTACTCAAAAAATATTTTGGGCTTTGACCCAGCCCAACATTCCCGAAGCCCAATTGCTAACAAAATATATACGGAGTACTTTATCTGAATCCACTCAGTGACTAATTCGGCTGCATAAAAAGCATAAGCATAACCTGCATTCCAGTGTTCACACTTCCACCAATCCAATTGCTAAAAAAATATATGGAGTACTTTAAAAAAGATATTTTGTGTTGATTTTTAAAATATATTTGATTTGATGAGTAAAAGTTGAATTTGATGAATGAATTATTAGTAAAATGTTATGATAGATAGGTAGGATAATAATTAGTAAAGGTAAAAGTGATTTTTTAATAGATAAGAAAAAGAGTTTGTAAGACAAAAAAAAAGAAAAGAGAACGTGTTGGACATGAGTTCAAACCCCTTTATTATTATTCTGGAATATTTTTAGTTTTGATAAATGACAAATAGGATGATTAAACTCAAGCTGATCGAAAATTTATTTTTCGTATCTAGAAAAGCAAAGAGGCGTATAAGGAAGATTCCGAAGACCTTTTTGAAGTGAAGTGAAGATTCCGAAGACCTTTTTTTGAAGTGAAGTGAAGATTCCGAAGACCTACGCAGTTTATTGAAGTGAAGTGAAGATTCCGAAGACCTTTTTTTTATTGAGTCTAGAAATTTGTTGTAAGGATGACAATACTTTCTGCATAAACAAATTAATTTTGAGGGATAAAAATTATTATTTTCTGAGTCAGTTGAAAAATTAGTTTTTCTCTGTCTAAAAATATTTTACTGAGTCAGTCTCAAAAACAGTGTGTCAAAAATTCTTAAAAATACTTTTTAAGGATACACAAATTTTTTATGGTAAGAAAAATATACTTTAGTTATTTTTCGTGTACATCGTTTGACACACAAAATAATTTTTGGAGTCACTTTTTCTCCCCTACTCAAATTCATTGAATAGGAGATATATTTTTTTGAGGAGCATCCCTTGTTATTCTCGTTGTCTCAAACAACGAGTAAAAAGCCAATGCCTTTCAATCGCAACTGACCTTGGGCCCTTTGTGTTTGCGCATTATTTTCATTTTAATCGATTAAATACTCTAAGAGAATCGATTAGATCCAATTGCTTTCTCAACGCATTTCTCACGTCATACAGCTAATCGATTAATACTCTTCATTTAATCGATTAGTTTGGACAGAGCAAGCTAATCGATTTTCTCCTCTTGTTTAATCGATTAATAGGTTTTTCGTTGGATTCCTCTAGATTGACCAATAATCGAGTATTTCTCTTTGATTAATCGATTAGTTCGGACAGAGCCGACTAATCGATTTTTAGGCTTCCTTTAATCGGTTATTTTTGCTCTTCTTTTCAGGCTTTTTCGCCTCTGTGTACCGTAATCGATTTAACTTTTTAAGTTAATCGATTAATTTTATCTGGTGCATATTCTCAGCTTGCTCCAACGGATTTATTTTCGCTCAGCCTATTTAATCCTCCTTCTCCTCCATTCTCAAAACACTACTCTTGCACTCCAATATACTCTTTGAGCTATATTCATCTTTGCTTCATCTTCCTCATCAAATATCATTTTTTGAGAGTTAGAAACATTTTCTTTGAGTGCTAAAGATATTGTCATCCATAGAGCTTTAATCCTTCAATACTACTTTGCTCAATTGTGTGAGATTACATTCATGTGTTGTAAACTCAATCTTATTTGAGTGTTGTTCTTAAGACTTGTGTGACTCAAGTCTTGGTGTTGTAAGAAAGTGAGGCTTGTGTGATTCAAGTTCTCAAGTTGTACTGGTTTTTCAAGCACCCGTTGAAGCTTGAAGATTAGTAGGACTTTAGAGAGAGTCTCTCGGAGGACTGGACTAGCCACGAGGTGGTGAACCAGTATAAATCTCGGTGTTCTTCTTTCCCTTACTCTTTTTATTTATTCCTGTGATTTTTATTTCACACACGCAAAAAACGCACATTCTTGAAAACAACTCTATTCACCCCCCCTCTAGAGTTCCACATTTGTCTAACAATTGGTATCGGAGCAGGAAGTTCTTCGAATACATTATTTTTCAGGAACTAAAAGATCAAATGGCATCAAGGATGTTCAACGCAGGAGTGACCGAGGGACAATCAACCACGAGGCCACCTTTGTTCGATGGAACAAACTACTCATACTTGAAGGAGAGGATGAGAATCTTTATCCAATCCAACGACTACAAGCTGTGGTTGATTGTGAAGAACGGCTGCGGAGTCCCGATGAAGAAAGTCGATGACGTCAACGTCCCCAAAACGGAAGAGGAGTTCACTAACGAAGATTGGAAAAAGATGGAGCACAACGCAAAGGCAATAAACATGATTTATTGCGGTGTTAATGCGGATGACTACCGCAAAATCTTGCGGTGTGAAACTGCAAAACAAGTGTGGGAGAAATTGGAGGACACCTACGAAGGAACCACGCAGGTTCGGAAGGCCAAAATCAACCATCTCACTCACGAGTACGAACTCTTCTCAATGAAGGAAAACGAGAAGATTGAGGAAATGTTTGAGAGGTTCTCTAACATCATTAATCCTCTAAATCTTCTTGGGAAGACATACACCGACCGAGAACTCGTGAGAAAGGTGCTACGATGCTTATCCCCTAAATGGCATTCAAAGGTGGACGCAATCAAAGAAGGTCGTGACTTCTAAACAACGACCTATGATGCTCTTCGAGGTAATCTTATTACCTATGAAACCACCCAACTCTCAAAGGTGGTTGAAGAGAGGAGCAAGAGGTCTATTGCTCTACCCGCAACAACATCAACCCACAACAACGTTGATGATGAAGATGATGACAGCGACGACACCGACCTCGGATTTTTTGTCCGAAAATTCAAGAAGATGATGCTCAAGAAGGGAGCCAAGAAGAACACTCCACCCAAGTGCTATGGGTGTGGTGAAATTGGGCACATCAAGCCAATGTGTCCGAAGCTCAAGAACGAGAAGGACAAGAGGGCACTAAAGAAGCAACGTGCCTACATTTCTTGGGAGAACGACGGCTCCGGGAGTGAAGACTCGGAAACGGAGGAAGTGGCCAACTTGTGTCTCATGGCCATTGAGGATGGTGAAACATCAAAAGAGGTAAGTGATCAAGAACCTTCTCCCAATGATCCTTTAACTCTTAATGATGTTATTTGCATCGTAGAAGAACTTGTAGGAATGTTCAAAAAGGCTTCCAAAGAAAATAATGAAGTTAAACAAAAAATCCTGATTTTTGAGAATGATGTAAAAGAACTCAAAAATATAAATGATAAACTTAAACAAGAAATTATCTCTTTTGGAAAAAGGCCACAAGAACCTTCAACTACTTCTTCTTCTACATGCTCTAGTTGTACATCACTAAAAGCTAAGGTTGCTAGTTTAGAGAGCAAATTGGGAAAGTTTAATAATGCTTCAAACACCTTAGATAAAATACTTAAGCAAAAAGTTAGTAATGGTGAAGGACTTGGATATAAGAAAAACCAACCTAGAAAAACAACATTTGTTAAAGCTAGGGGGAATAAAAANAAAGAACTCAAAAATATAAATGATAAACTTAAACAAGAAATTATCTCTTTTGGAAAAAGGCCACAAGAACCTTCAACTACTTCTTCTTCTACATGCTCTAGTTGTACATCACTAAAAGCTAAGGTTGCTAGTTTAGAGAGCAAATTGGGAAAGTTTAATAATGCTTCAAACACCTTAGATAAAATACTTAAGCAAAAAGTTAGTAATGGTGAAGGACTTGGATATAAGCAAAACCAAGCTAGAAAAACAACATTTGTTAAAGTTAGGGGGAATAAAAATGCTAGGATAAATAATCAAACTAGAAGAGCACATCCTAGCAAACCTAGAACTCATTATACTCAACCATATAGGATGAATAATCCAAATGTTATTTGCCATTATTGTAATAAGATAGGTCACATTACACCCGTGTGCTTCACCAAAATTAGGCATTTCCAACAAACGCACACACAACGCACATATGCTAACCAAAAAGGACCCAACAATACATGGGTACCTAAACCGTCTCCTTGATATCTTTTTGTAGGTGTACTTGAAGGCTTCGAGTACCTCTTGGTATCTCGATAGCAGATGCTCCAAGCACATGACCTGAGACGCATCCAAATTTAGGAGTTTAGAGTATTTCAAAGGTGGCAATGTCGTTTTTGGCGACAACAACAATGGAAGGAGCATTGGAAGTGGCAACGTCGGGAGAGACAATGCTACAACTGTTGAGAACGTTCTTCTTGTTGAGGGCCTCAAGCAAAATCTTCTTAGCATTAGCCAATTGTGCGATAGAGGTAACCGTGTCATCTTTGATTCTAGTAAATGCATTGTAGAATGCTTGTGTGACAATAGGACTATTCTTTGTGGTAGTAGAGTAGATAACATTTACATGTTTGATCTTGAAAATTCCCCGTCTATCTTAGCTAAGTGCCTCATTACCAAAGAGGAAGAAACGTGGCTATGGCACCGTCGGATAGCTCACGTTAATATGGACAATCTTGGTTTCTAAAGACTTAGTAATTGGTGTTCCTAAACTTAAGTTTGAGAAGAATCTAATTGGTGATGCATGTCAAAAGGGGGAAGCAAGTAAGGGCCTCGTTTAAGTCAAAGAATGTTATTTCTACGACTAGGCCTGACAATCGTAGTTGTTCAGGTAGTAAACCTTCCCAATAAAGGGTTAGTTTTCTCTCCGAGTGTCGTATCTCTCGAGGAGTGGATGAAGGGAATTAGTTTAATTACTCTAATTAGGCGAAGATTAGGATTGGTTTATGAAAGTCTTCTCGGAATGAATAAAAGAGTAGAGTAAAAATAATAAATTAATTTTACACAGTATAAGTATAGATCTGGACCTAGGGTCGGGACATCATTTGGATATATCATATTAAATTAACAATTGGAATAATAATATTTCTATTACTACTCATCCATTTCTAGATTTGTACTTAATCTGTTGTACTTGAATATCATAGCCCTTTGGAATACAATATCTTCTCAATAAATAGCTAATTAAATCTTTCGAGAATAATTAACTAAATAAGGCAAGAACAATAGACTAACCATTCCAACGTTACTTTAACATAAATAACAACCAAACTAGTCCAGACCCAGGAATCCGGACCCTAACTCATACTACGCAAACATGAACTAAAACAGCATTTTGTTAAATAAAAGGAACTTACAACTTCCGTACAAGTGGATTTGAACAGACCGGGAGTAGAATTTCTCCAAAATTTGATTCTAAAACTACTATAATGATAAACTAGAACTTGGAATTGAAATATTAAGCTCAATTCCCGAGAATGGGAGTGAAAGTGATGTGTTGAATGGGGAGAATCGCGCTGTATTTATAGGACAGAGGCCGAGGCGTCCAAGTCGAAGCATCCAAGTCCATGCGTCCAGATCGGGACGCTTGAGCTGCTCCGGCCAACCAGGTTTTGCCACGTGTCTTCCTTGGTCTGCAATCCAGCCAAGGCGTCCAACTCCCAAGCGTCCAACTTGGCCAAGCGTCCAAGTTGGACGCCTTAGGCCCTGGTCCGTTTGGGCTTCGCGGCTGATGCAAGATCTTGGCCCAATTTTGCTGGTTTTCGGCCCGAACGTCGATTTTATTCTCCCGGAAGCTCGTTCAAGCCCGAATCTTGATCCTTTGATGATTTATTCCCTTTTTCTCAAATATTTGAACATAAAATGTGATATACCCCCGACTACAAACAACGATCCTCGAGTCCTTAAACAAATCGGTGGAATAATGTCCAAATGTTTTAATCCTTTTTGGAATGTACATCACCCATAAACCATACAACCCGACCCTGGTCCTGTTGGACCTTCCCCCACCTTGATGGCCGAAAATACCACCCAAAACCACCCCCCCCCCCCAAATATCCAAATCAAAACCCAAGTCCTTTCCCCCTTTTTTTTACCCTGGCCGAACCCACACACCCCCACAACACGTCATCACATTTCAAACCACATGCTAAAACCACAAACCCT